CTGAAATAAACTGGAACCTGAATGTGTTCACAGGCAAAAAAAGCGATATACTGAAGGGTAAAGGAGAACAAATAGATAAATAAATAAGTAAATAGATGAAAAAGAAAGATGAAAGGGTAAAATACCATGGAAAACTGCTATTTCCTAAAAGACTTCCAAAATACCATGGTTGAACCGAGTCCTGGATAGAAGACTAGGAAGCTCTCCCTTTCGGAAATTAAACGTCCTACTTGGGATCTTGAGGACCATTGACAACCCTTTGAAAATTCTAGGATTATGACTACCCCATATCCTTAGGGTTTTTAATCTTTGCGACCACTGGTGACCCCTTGGACTTCTTGATCTAGGCTCATAATTGCCACCACCCGTCCATATAGCAGGGCTAAAGAAACCCGGTTCCCTGAATAATGAGTGGCGTCGTCAAAGCGTTCGATTGGAAGTGATCCCTAAATCTTGCTTTGACAGGATTAACAAGTCCTGAACCTTGTTCCAACAGGATGAACAAGTGCTATTGTGTTATTCCCACTGAAAACTCAAGTTCACACAGGTTTTGACAGGTAAAGCATTGGCGTCAGTCCATTTTGAGCGGCGTCACTTCAGATCATTCCTTGTCACCGCCGCCGTCGGCTGACCGGTGGGCGCTCTCATCAGAACACTATCAGATTTTTTTTACCACTGTTTATCCTCACAGCTCTTTTCCTGGACATTTCTCTAATTGGACTCAAACTCGCTAGCCCCTCTATGGGCAATTCTATAGTATTCGTTTTTTTCTCGGGAAACAGCATGTGGTCAATGCGTATGCACCTCCTTACAAATTACCCAGCTCTAGTCTGCTTGTGAGAGCAACGTGGGAAGGGGGTGTGACAAGAAAATTACAAGATGTTCTGCTGATGAGCGTGAGGAGCGACTCTACCCTCATCAAGCGACCTGCGAGTTGTCCTGCTTGCCCGTTTCATGCTGAGTGTTGATAGGACGTGTAAATCCGATATTGCTCATCATGGAGCCTTCCTCCTTTTATCTTAGGAGTTTCGCTTCTGCAGTGGGCAAAGCGTTTAGCAGCAGAACTTGTCGCGCGTCGCCGCACGACACGCCGCCGCGGCGCGACGAGTGCGACAAGTTACGATTCTATTGCCACTCTTAACGACCGTTTATTGACCAGGCGGCAACGTCTCCGCGCCCTTTCCTCAAGTGAGGCTTGAGCTTCGAGCGCAGACAGCCAGGGTTGGTGCTGGCTACTCTTGCCTAGCAGACACGGCAGGTCACGCCTTTGGGGAAGATTTTTGCAAAATACGACATAAGAAACTTGCTCTGGTACAATCCCTTCCCATCTAACACACCACCTACAATCTTCCTTATTTCCCCCAAGCTCCATCTTCCGGCGTTCTTTCTCTCAGAAATTCCTCCGCTATTTACCTTGAAAAGCTGGTGACCTTCGAGAGCAGGAAGGAATGGGGGGAAGGACTTCATAACGCATCGAAACAGGAAATACCGCGGATCAAAAGGAAACTTTTCAAAGGCAATCACGACCTTCCCCGGCGACCAAATGTGCCCCCGTTGAAAATCTCCAACGTACAACGTGCCCTGCGGGCAGAATCCTTTGTAGGGCTCCGGCTTTCTGCCCCTCGAAGGGCACAGTGGGCTGGGGCGAATGGTTGCTGCTAACGTCACTTGTGGAAAGGGTGGGAGAGGTCGTTTGGCCACACCCCACTCATCTTTCCGCCAATGAAGCTTACAGGAATCGCCCGCCTTGAGGCCATCGTGACCACTGCCTTCAGCCCAAGCCTTCTTAGAAATCGGTGGAGTTTTCTATTTTGCTGGGGTTCATGAATTGGTGCTATACTCATCAGAAGGGGATGGAAAATTGACTCGTACATCAATAACTCCGATGAGTTAGCACATAGGCTGAACCGCGCTTAAAAGCTCCTACGATGGTAAATGGTAGCGAGTGCATGGCGTATCCAAATAGGGATCTATTCAACTGGAAGCTTCGGATTGTTAGATTTTGTATCGTTTTACTGTGGAAAACTTACCTGGAAAGACTTTTCTGTAATAGTGCCTCAACTGTACTTTACGCAGGGGAACTCTGTAGAATGAGGGAAACCTCACTGAACAGGATTACTTGACCAGTTACACTGTCAATGTTACCCCTACATACATACCAGCGAAAAAAAAGCTTGGGACAAGCTCAGAAATCGCACTTTCGTCGTCTTAACTTCTTTATTATCCTCCAAATCACAATATTAGTAGCAGTAGTCAAGAACTTAACGAATTTAGATATTAATGATTTGGAGGAGCGTAGGTAGCGTAGTGTGAAGTGGCAGCACTTACCATGGTGGGAGTCGAATCCCAGATCGTTTTCCGTCCGAGCCAACCAAGCTTCTCATTTCGACGCCAGGCAATTCGTACCACACGTGTTCGGGAGGATGAAAAAACCGATTTTTGCTTTGGCTGCTGCCCCATGATCCACTGCATAGACCTAAATTACATTCAAAATCCCTACGATTCCAAACAGAAGTGTAGCGAACTGGTCTTGACTTTCTTTTTGCTGTGACTACGGGTTGTTTTTTTCAGGTCAGATGAGCACGACTACACTGCCAAGCAAAAAAAGAAGAACTGGCGAAGAATTATTTCAGAGAAATGGTTCTCGCAGCAGAAGATCGGATATCTAAACAAGAACAAGATCGGATAGCGAGTTAGCTCTTTGATATGTCATGTTCATAACATACGACACTGGAGCATCAGGGAATCGGAAAGAACTGCAGCTGTTATCGCTTCAGTCAGTCGGGGCGTGCCAGCTGCGCGTGGGTTTTTGGCAGTGTCAGCATCTACCACTCATTGAACGCCCGAAGCCGCAAGGATCGATGGAAAATGGGCTGGCGCCGCTCGAGTGGCGGACTTTAGATACCCGAATGGGCGTGGCCACAGGAGGGCGAGACCTCGACATGGACGAGTCTAATTGAGCTTCAGCACTTCCTGAGCTTGAAGATGATCGTTTTTCTCTTGTTCAAGAGCTATCGAAAGTGCTTCTACTTGAACTTACAATTTCCGAACGAAGAAATAAATTAGATTGGAAATGTATGCTTTCTACTGAGGTAGACATTAGGACAGAGGCGAAGAAATGGCTGAGATCTTACGTATGACCATGAAACTTTCAACACCGATGCTCTGAAGGTAATGAGAGCGTTTAACTAGGAAGCGGAGCTCCCGTCTAATATCAGTGGCGGCGACAAAGTTGGGCAACACCCGTCCATGTCAAAGCCTTGTCCCCTTGTGGCCACGCCCATCCGGGTATCTAAATGCCCGCACCCGCGCCGCTCCAAAACCATTACCCGCTGGCACGTCCTGAATGACTCCAGTGATGATGACAGTACGTAAGTATCGGCTGGTACTGTCCAATTTCGGAAAGTCAGAGGCCACGGATCCCATACACACTTTCTGCAGGGTTCTCCAACTTTCCGATTCTTCACTGTCGCAATGTACGACCTGCCTCACTTTTTTTACATAAAGTACTCCAGGAAGGATACGTGCTCTTCGTCAGTACCACAATCCGTACGTTGGCAGTGAGATTACTGTCGGTGAAGATGGAAGTGCTCTGGTAAGGAATGGTTTCTTGAACTGGTTCACTCTAAGGACCTGTGAGGAGTTGCGTCAAAGGCAGTGGGCACGATAAACTACTCGTGCATACATTGATTGCATAATTTTCAATTGTAGGTGGGAAAGGCGCATAGGCGGATGGGTTGTGGAGTAGTCGATATTCAGTGGTCACAAAAGCGCGAGGGCACGCCCCAGCCGTGGCCCTGCCCCACAATGTACGTGTCATCCGCAGGGAGCGACAAGAAGTGCTATGTATACTAATGTTGCCGTTATAACTCGTAGATTCTTCTTAATAGAACGACCTCAACTTTTTATAGCTATTTGTATCTATGCAATGAGCAGGATCATTGGCACGATGCCGATGCCAGGCAATCAAGGTGAAGTCTCGAGATGTTTGAAATCAACGGTGAGAAGAAGGCCTTATTTGAGTTCTGCTTTCTCAATTTTATTCACTGTCGGACCACTCAGCACCTTCACCTCAGCTTTTTTCGCGGATAATTATCGTGCTCACTGTCTTTGGTTGCTCTCCCTTTTTCTTAGATCTCTCTAGAATCATCTTTTTTCAGTCTCATTTGCCTGAGAATGCGTCCACTTATCTTCCACCGTTTCTGATGGCACCGCAAGCAGCGGCTATGTTTGGCAGTACAATGCTAACTAACCCTTTCCATTGGTCCCCGGACTTTTTAGGATCACTTCGAGGTCTTCACTATGAAACTGCGATTTTTGAAATCTGTTTTCTAACAAATTCCGAGTGCTGCCATCCTACTCTTGTTCCGCTTGTCATGTGACTTCCAATGGTCACACACTCTTCAACAGGACATCGCAATGGAGTGGCGGACTTTAGATACCCGGTGGGCGTGGCCAAAGTAGGGCGAGGACTCGACGTGGACGGATATAATTAGGCTTCCGCGCTTCTTTCTGAGCTTGGAGATGACAATTTCTCTTTTGT